ACAAAAAGTCATCTTTAACTGACTTGTGCACAGCACTCATTCCATACTGTGTTAATGCAGATAAACATGTTATCTGTGAAACTCTGTGTGTTTTAGAACAAGGGAATCAACACCAACAAAAATGTGTTGCCCAGGCGATCCAGCATCTCAGAGTAACTCTATTGCAGTCTCCTCGGAATTCTGCATCTGGAACAGCTTCAAGGCTCCTGACTGAGATGGTCCTAACTCACAGATTTTTCTAACTAGGACTTGACCATTATCCTAATTTTCTTATGGTCTCCCAAAGATGCAAATGCCCTCAGACAACAGGAACCATTAACATTCCCAAGAGATAGGCCATGGGTTTTGGTCATTCTGTGAGTTATGAATATTTGTCATTATTTTGGGGGTTGGTTACAAGTTAATACTGGTCATGGTAAAAGAAAACTGAGAAAAAGGAATTATATTCAGGGATCTCTTTATGAAGAGAAAAAGGGGATATAATATCATTGTATATACATTGTATATCAATACAAATTCACATTATTTTTGTTATACTGTAATATATGTTTCTATTTTTGTTTATGGTATTATACTGCTGCAGCTCATTTCAAAAAGTAATGTAAAGTTTCAGTCCTTTAAAGCTATTTAAGATAATAAATAAATGCATGTTAATAGTTACTCATCTATAACAATCAAACTCATACTTATGTTAGGTATATTTTTAAGATCATAGAAAGATATATTTTAGATAGGCAATTCTTAAGCACTTCCAAGACCTACATAACATGGTATTTAAAATGTTTTGTTAAGATAGGGCTTTTCATGACAATGAGATGCATATGCTCTGACAGCACCAATTTACTTCAGAAAACATGATGAACATCAAAGAAACTCTGAATGGAGTTTGCTTTCATTGTCGCAAAACTAGCCATTTGAGCAAGAAACTGCTCTTGTGCTGCAGAATAATCCCTTCGTACAATATGAAGATTTGTCACTGTGATTGGTATAATAAACAATCTGACTGGCTGATAGCTGAACAGAATAAGGTTAGGCAGAAGAGCCAGAGTAGGAGAATGCTTGGAGGAAGAAGGGCTGAGTCAGCAGTCTCCAGCCAGATGCAGAAGGAGCAGTAGATGAAAGTGCCATGCTAATAAAGGTACTGCCACATGGCAGAGCATAAATAAGGAATATGCATTAACATAAAATTTAAAAGATAATTAGTAATAAGCCTAAGCTATTGGCTAAGTATTTGTAATTTATATTAAGTCTCTGAGTGGTTATTTGGGACTGGGATGTCAGTATAGGAAACATACATCTGTACTTTTGCCTTGACTCCTGACAATATGCTGAACAAACTAGACAAACAGAACGAAAAGGAAAAAGACTGCCAAATTTTGCCAAAATAAGGCAAGACAGCCCTTCAAAATTCATTTTTCATAGAAAAGATTGCCAAATACACTGCAGGATGTGAAGGAAAGTGACTGATGAACTTTGCCAAAACAAGGTGGGACAATCCTTTGAAATTCCTTCTTCATAGAAAAGTCTACCTGATATTCTAGGCCTGTAGGATGAATAGGATGTCACAGGCATCCAGGGGGTGACTATCCAGGTTTCCAGATGTCTCTGTAGTTTCTATAGTTTTAGAAGTCACTTGTACTGAATATCCTATTTGCTCAAGTAATATTATATCATTCTGGGGTCTTTGGTGGAGTTGAAGACTAGCTAATCATAGTTTAATTTCCCTCAGTTACTTAGATGGTAAATTAGGTACAAAACTTTGGACTCACCAAGATAATGGAGTATTTTTTTCTGAATTGGCCAAAAGTGAATGGAATGGCTATTGTGAATGTAATTCTTACTTGGTAATTGTTCTTATTGCAAATAGGTTCATTTGTTAAGGCTTATATCTTTCCTTTCTATTTAGACAGTACCTGATAAATGATTTTATTGTATATAGTATTATTATATTAGAGTTAAAACCTTTCATTTTCATTTATACAAAAGGGCAAATATTGTGGAATAATCTTTTTGTACACTGTGAAGACGTGTCTCTATGTTTGGTTTTTAAAAAGCTGAATGACCAATAGCTAGGCAGGATGCTGGGAAGAAGAAGGACAGAGTCATGAGAAGATGCAGAGGAAGCATGGCATGCACAAGATGAAGTAACAAGCCATAAGCCATGTGGCAGCATATAGATGAACAGAAATGGATCAACTTAAGTTATAAGTGCTAGTTAAAAGCAAGCCTAACCTATTGGCTGAGCTTTCATAATTAATAAAAAGTCTCCATGTCATTATTTGTGATCTGTCAGTCTCTATGAAAAAGTCTAACTACATTACTGTTATAGTAAAGAGACTCTGTACATATTTGTGTTTTGCTACAAATTATTATGCAAATGTAAATAGATACTGCTAGGATCTTTTAGGCTCAAGGCTCAACTCATTGATAATGAAGTAGGGCTGGATATTGATGTTACATTTGAGTGATTGCTAACTTGACAGAAATTACAGATAATTGTTCTATCACATTTCATAGTAGCAGGCCAACCAGAGCCGCTGGCACTCCAGATATTGCACATATACCCAGGGATGATAGGTGTGGGTTCAGCTAAAGGTCTTGATCACACTGTCAACTCAAATACAGCCAAGGAAAGGAAATACAGACTCACTCTCACACCATGAGAATGCACAGTAAGGTTCATACATAATGGGTAAATAGGAAATATTGCATTGTATAGATACAGTTGCAAAGGAAATATAAAACTTGGTAAGAAAGTGACTAATCTAAACAAGACTTGAACTACTTTTACCCAAATCAGTATGCTAGTGAGCTTTTTGTTTTGTTTGTTGTAACTGTTTTTTGTTTGTGTCTGTGTAATTGTGTATATATATAAATTTTCATGAGTGAATATGTGCCTGCCTTTATACTAAGCAGAACAATGGATATGTCATTATCAAATAAAAGATGATGGTAAACACCAAGCAGCCCATAGATTCTAACAAAAAAACTTAAATCCTCAAAGTGCCCTTAGGCACACTTTGGACTATGGTGAAGACAATGGGCAAACCTTCTGAAGACTGTGATTTATTCACAATGGGTCAAATCAGTAACTGGTCTGACTCCCTCCAGCACTGTATTTAAATGAATCAACCTCTACACTCAGTGAACCTTGCATCCCATGAAGCTATCCATGTATGGCTGGTCAGGGAAAGAGGGATGCAGGTCTGAGAAGCTGATGGCTGGCAAACAATTTTGACATCAAGGAAGTACACAAACCTATTGTGTGATCTTAAAGGCAAACAATAAAGGGTGTCATGATTGTTTTTTTTCTGGAATCCAGGAAATGATTCCATCAATATAGATTCTAAATTTCTGTCATGACTGACAACACTCAGGGGGTGGGAGCAGAAGAAGCATTTACACAGAACCAGCACAATCTCAAAGTTTAACAATTCCTTATTCACTCAATAAATATTGAATGTGGATCCCAGGTAATTAACTTTAACATGAAAATGCTGCCCTTATGTGGTTTAGAACTTAAAAGGAGAAGAGAAAACAATCAAAAGTATTAACATAAGATAAAAGCAAAGCAATAAAAGGTGGCATATAGGACATAATTTAGGATCTAGTGGTATAGAAGAGCATCATGGAAAAGGTATGGAGTTTAGGCAATACAGAAGAAAGAAGCAAACCTTGTGACGATCATAAGGAAGGGCTTTCTAGAAACTGAGACAGCAAGTACAAAGGGACCAGGAGAGCTGAAAACACAGCAACCAAATTAGTGGCTGCATGTCTAGATCTCTGCCTTGAAAACAACCTACACTCGAGATCAGAAAGAACCACTGAGAAGGATGTTTCCCCTTCATGTTCAGTCGCCTTAGGAACAAGACTGCGCTCAGGATAGTTGGGGGGACTGTTTGGAGGCTTGCTTTTGTTCTGTCCTGTCTACTTCTACAGGAAAATTAAATTTCTGTGACTGAAGAAATAATCTGAATGACATCAGCTTACTGTCTATACTTATAAAACAGCTAAAACACTTAACCAGCTTAATTTGTGGAGTAAGTGCCACACATCCTCACCATGATTGCTTCTGGTGAACTGCAACTCATTATGATATAGTTTTCCATGGCTGGGTGACAAGATACCAGGTATCTGGTGGCTCCAACTGACACAAGTGTCTCACATAGTTCTATAGGTCAGAAGTCTGGAGTGTCTCCATTCTAAACTCACAGTCCATAAGAAGGGCCGGACTCCGTTCTGTGTAGTCTGGGCATAGTTCCTTTGCTCTTTTCTGTGTCTGCATGCCAGCCACTGTTCCTTGTTTAGCGGTCCTTGCCCTTCTTCCTCATAGCCAGCAGAGGCTAAGCTAGGTCTTTCTCAAACCCCAGCCACCAGACTTTGCTCAGTGTTCACATCTCTAGCTCTGGACTCTCATTTCTGTCTCTCTTTTTGTCTTTTAAGGTCCTTTCTGATTACATTGTACCCAGCCACTAATCCTCTAAGTCCCAATTTAATCTCAGTTGCCATGTCACCTTTGCCATGAAGACAATTAAGATATGGATATAGTTGGGGGCCATTACTACAACGGGCACACTTTTTTTTCCTTCTCCCATTTTTCTATTTTTAGGATATGATCAAAATTTTGGAAGAAAAGCTTGCTTTAGTCATGTAAAGTCAGCAAGGAACACGAAGACTTTTTTTAAATATATGGCAAATACTGAAACAGAAGCTATTTTCTGGTCCAATATTACCCTAAAAGGGCAACATAAGATTGCAGGATAATAAAAGCAACACAAATAAAAAAGGTGTATTTTAATAATGTATAAATTATGACAAATTAATTATTCACTTAGACTAGATTTCTTCACATCCATCTTTCAATGTTATGTTAGAAGTTAGGAGGATGGCAACACATGCACACACTAATCATCTGTTTCTACCACTGGAATTTGGGCTCTTGTGACATCACCCATAGTCTTCTCTTCATTTGTTTCATACTCTCTTAGTACCTGAATAAAAGCCAAGATTAAAAACAACAAAACAAAACAAAACCCTCCTCTGTATGAAGCAGCCTTATATATAACTCTGTCTTCTCCTTTAGAATTGGAGGTGGGGTGAGGTTGTTTTCCTCTCTATGCAAATGAAGCCCTCCCAGAGACCAAGTGAGTAACTATGGACAAACCCTGCCCCTCTCTTTGAGAGAAATGCTCTAGGGTGACTGCTCCTGCCCCCTTGCTCCTTAACAGCTGCTAATGAGAGGTAGGGGCACCTGGAACAGAGTGGCAATGAGGTGCACAAACCAGGTGAGAAGATTAGACTTCTCTCAGGGTCATGTGCCATCTTTCCCTTACTTTTAGAGCCATCTTCTGCAGAGAAGGCCTGGATGGAAAGAGCAATAGCTACCTGCTAATCTCCTAGTCTGCTTCTGTTATGTCCCTGGTGGGTCGTTTACATCCAAGCTAAGCCCCTTGATGCTCCACATTAGATAACTAGTCTCTGTCATTTCTGACATCAAGATATTTGAATGCCATGCTACCAGCAGCCTCTGCTCCCTCCGGACCCATGTCTAGATTCATGTTCGCATTTAGGTTAGCGGCAGTCTGGCTGTCCCTGCTTACATCAGTTTACTTACCTGACTTTTGATGGTAGAAGTCATTGAATTTTGCTGTGACCCTAATTCGTCACTGAGTGGATGCAAATAAAGGCCTAGAAAGGAAGGATGACTTGTCCCAAGACAATAATGAGAGTTCTCTTTTCTTGGATTCCAAATTTACTTCTCTATGACCCAAAGCCTAGGTGCCTCCTTCCTGCATCTCAAAATAGATCTTTTTGTTTTTGAGGAAGTTGAGATTCTGGTCCAACTCTGTAGATGAAATGCTTGGCATCAATACAGTAAGGTAGCCCTCTATCAGTGGATTAAGACAATGGCCAGGGCAGTCAGAGACAATACTGTGTTTGATATACAGCACCCTGGGTTGAGCTTATACCTACATTATGTAACAAGCTATGTTAGGATAAGTCTGGCCTTAAAGGACTTCACAGAGGCAGGTAGGTGGCAGAAGGAAAAGTTGGTGACTGGAGTTGAGGGATCAGTAAACCTACCATTTGAGCCTTGCTAACAATGGATTAACAGTGTCTCTCATCCCAGCTTACAGGTGACAGGATGAGAGCCCCAAAGGAAAGGATTCACCATGTAGACTCTGCCTGTGCTGTGAAAACTCCACCTAGATGTATAAGGAAAGAACAGTTGTAAGGTCCAAATCTATGTATGGTCATTCTCTGCTTTTGTTGTTGTTCCTGGATATCACCATGCCCTCCTGCACAGCTCCAGGACCAGTCACTGTGCAGCACACATAGCAGGCAGGCACTCTATGAATGCTTAACCTCAAATACATTCTTCTGCATTTACCTAAAATAAGACAAGCTCTCAGTTTTCCTTTTTCCTGATTTTTCAAGTGCATCAATTTCACTTTTGGCACTACAGATTTTACAAGAGCAAATGGCCAGAATGAAATGTTCTAAAGACTGGAAAGCATGTGTTTTAATCTCTTGCTGGGAAGGACCCTTCGGATCAGCACAGGCTAGCACTGTCCCTGAGCCACTAAATGGCTGGGGTCAGTATGGGAGTGAGCCAAGTCATACGATCTGTTGATCCCATTAGTCTCCAAGCTTGCTTAATCAGAACTTCCAAATCTTCTGAGGCTCCCTAATATCCATCTAATAGCTCCATCAAGAATAAACACATCCTAATCTGTCCATGACACATCCAAAGCCATTAACCAAGGAGGTTGGCTTCTCTGTGGAATTGATAAGGGCTTCTTCAAAGAGAAGTGACAAAATTGCCTTTAATAATTCTCCATGCTCAGGCTGAGTTGTTTATAGCACTTACACATATGTGCCTGTAATTTTCTATCAAGAATCTACAGTTTGATTACTGTGAGCTGGCTTCTGGTAGACAGTTGCTGCAAAGGGACAGTTTTGATGGATGCAATTTGCTCAAGTGTGTTTAACATATCCCATCCAGGGTAGTTTGTCATCAGCGACAACAATACAAATATTTTGATTTATGTTGAGCTCATTAATTATTTCCTCACCAGTTTCTAATTTGGAGAAACTCCATGTGTGCTAAATTTATTTCTTTTTAATTTTCCATCTTCATGAAATTGAAAGCCCTCTTGGAATCCTGACTGGACCAACTGTTGTTTACTGGCCAATGTGGAGCAGCTTACTCTCCCTTGCCAAAGGTAAATACCCAAAAGGGATCCAAAAATACATTGAATGAAGACTTGGATGAACACCATTAGAGCTTTAATTTGAGTAAAAACAGTCTTCAAAGGTTATGTGCAGTGAGGGAGATTTGGCTTATTAAGTAGGCTGGAAGCTGGTAAATATTTGAAGTTCTTCCAAGCTGCTTAGGTTATATTCCAACCTGGAGATTTGAGGCAGACCTGCGTGGGGAAATAGAACAGTCAGCTGGAATACACCATGCTGTGTCCAGCTTGAGTATTCCATAAGGATCAGCTGATTCATTTATCTGCTAAGTGTCATTGTAGCTAGTCTGATCCCCTAGTTCACTTGACACTCCAGCCCCTACCCACAGCCATACCATCTTCATCATCCCTTTTGTGACTCTCTTTGTCTCTGTTACTGTTTCTGCTGGACCAACACAGCTTTGAGCATGCTAGGGTCAAGCTGGTGTTTTGTTTCATGTATTTTTTACATTCCAGTCCCAGTTCCTCCTACCCCCTCTCCTCCTACTCCCCCTCTCCTGTTCCCCACCTCCCATCTGCTGGTACTTTTAAGGCTAAGTGAGGAATGATAACGCAGGGATACCTCTGTTGCCACTCTGAGGTGCAAATGAGATAATGTAGGAAATGAAACTCAGAAAACAATAATAATTGATGTTAACATTGTCCACATTATTATTCTCTGAACAAGAAGGAGAAGAAGAGACAATATGACAGTAAGACAGCAAGGAGACACAGAGTAGAGCCAGGAGAGCTGGTTAAGTAGGAAGCCACAAAGACAACCTAACCCAGGAAGCACCCCCTTACTCTCTTCAGCCTGTTGGCGAATAATGCAAAAGATAAGTAGATAAGACAGTCCTCTGCCATCGCCAGCCATTTACCACTGTGCTCAGAGCAACACAACCACTGTGAGGGGAGGCTGGATGTTGCACCCAGTGGTGCCAAGTCACTTCTTTAGTGGCACCAGTGGGAACTCCATAACCCCTTCTAAATCTGTATAAAGCAGTTCCATCCTGCAGGTGGACTCACGCAGCAAGCTGTCCTCAATGCTTCTGGTATTTTTAACTTCCCCTTTATTGATGTTTATAATAAAAGTAGACATTCCCAGTGAGAAGAAAAACCAAACAAAAAACCTTCCCCCTCCTTCATGATGAAGCTAGCTTTAAAAGTCATAAATAGCTTGTAGGGAAACACACCAGTGGACTCTGGGAAGATAGGAGTCAGGATATGTTCTGAAGGCTTCTCCTGGGGTCCCACCCCCTGGAAGGCCTGACTCACCTCCTTCTTGGTTGTCCCTGCTCCCAACACTGGTTTACTTTTTAGCTGCTCAGATCATGTCTCTTCACCCACAAAGAACCACTATACTTCCATAGAAAACCCAAAGTTCATGTCACCCCAGCCAATACATTTTGACACTTCTTTACCCTCAAAACACAATAGATTCATACTAGATGCACTGAGTTCACCTCGAGCCATTTACCTCCTGTTCTAGAAGCATGCAGCCTTTTGTACTTCACACATGTACTGAGTTTCCTGTCAGTGTAGAACTTCACTTTCTCCCTGGAGTCCATGCGCCTACTGCAAACATCACCCCACAGACACTCCCCACAGCCCCACGGAAAGGAGACTTTTCTAACAGCCTTAGTGCCCTGTCTCACCAATGTTTACACCTTTTGTGAGCAGTTATTGCAATGGCTGTTCACATACTTTCACTTGTTTAGAAATACCCAGAGTTGCTTGTGTGGAGAGACCTCTGAATCACTGTTAAATCCTCAGCACCTGGGCCAATGCCTCAAATAAAGTAGATGTGGATTCAGTATTTAATGACTAAATAGATTAAATCTTCAAGACTTTTCCATTTTAAACAAAACAGCATGACATTTTATAACTATATGTTGATCCCATTAGAAATATGTTTGGGGGATGTGAATTAGATATCAAAGGCCACATTGAAGGGAACAAAGTAAATTATTATATAAAAAGACAGTCATTTATTAGATCTGTATCATTCATTTGCCTTCTAGAATCATATGCAGGAAGTAAAATTGAAGAATAAGAGCCACTTACAGTTGGAATTTCTGTTTTATAAAACAATTGAGAAATGACAAACATATCGTGTACCTTTAGGGTCTAAATACTTCCAACACAAACATATAATTTTAAATACATTATTACTTCCTTTTGGAACGGCTGACTTGGCATTCTCCTGTCCATCACCAGTAGTAATCTATTCAGCAAACTGGCTGCAACAGGAAGTCCTGAATTTTGTGTGTCCTTGAAAAAAAGACACCTCCACTCTGATGATTCATTTTAGAAGTGCAAAAGAACTCTCTAAATGGGCCTGAGAAATGTTTGGGGAAAGGAGGAAAGGGCTGTGCTGTAATTGCAGCCATTTTCTTTTCATAGACAAAAATGTAAGGATGACTTTCAGAATTCCACTTGCCTCTCTTCTTTCCCATCCAGCCATGTGCCTGCCAATTCTCCTTTTTGAACAGTGAGCCTTAAAGGGATGCAGGTGTTAAAGCATATTCATATGGAAAACTCTTCTCTACCACAGCCCTGAATTGTGTGGATATTTATGGCAGAGCTACTTCATCCTCACAGGAAATCGTGTTTTTCTACTGCAATTCTCCTACCTGATAACACTCCCGTGTCACAGTTACATCTCCGAGGGAACCCCTGTGAAAACAATAGACTTGTTCCTTTACTTCTACACCTGTGTAAAATACATCCAGGCACAAAGATTGTTTTCCAGTTAGCATCCCCTTTTGCTTTACTTTCTGTCTCACCCGTACAGGTTCCAATGAATAATAAAATGCACAAAGGCAAGGCAGTCCTCTGGGCAGGGTCTGCTGCATTCATAGTCATAGGTTTTTGTGACTTTAATTTTCAGCATGCTAGGCTGCCATAAAGCAAGTGCCGAATAAAAGGGGGCGATAGGATAGCAATGCTATATCTTAAAGTAGCCAGGCCTTTACAAGGTCCACGCAACTGCTGGATGAGCACGCGTGCAGCTCTGAATTGCCTGTAGCTGTTGTGTCCTTCACCAGGCTTCAGGTAAATAATCCAGTAAGGAAGAAGGGGTGGGTGGAGAGGTACAAGATAGAAGTTGAATTAGAAATCTGAGTTCTTAATTAAACTGAAAACCAGATGTGTGATTTTCACCTCTAGCAGATTAGCATGAACAGTTGACTAAATCAGGAAATTGACATCTGGATGTTTCACCAGATTTACCCTAGATGAAAGCATGACTAAATTCTGACTCCTTTGAACCAGTAGGAGAGCACTGGGCAGCTTGTGGAGGGAGAATTAGGCACTTCAACTGCTGAATATTTTAGTTAACAATGAAACTGATCTGAGTGCCCGAAAGCCTGAAAGAACTGCCTTAGCTAAATTCAGGAGACAAAACAAAATAAAATAGCTTCATATATAAACACACACACACACACACACAAAACAAACAAACAAACAACAAAAAGCAGACACCAAGCCTGCCACAAAACACTTCATCTAAAATGGTGACCTGCCTACAAGATTAGCTAGTATAATGACAGCACAGAGCTTATGGTAATAACCAACAAACACCTCATCTGACTTCAGGCCCACTTTGTAAGATGGAACCCATACTAGCATTGCTTAGGTAACAAAGAATATGAGGTGAGATAGCCCAGCAATCTAGGGTAAAACTGAAAAAAAGGTAGCAATAAAATGATTCCTAATGACAGATTATAAACATAATCAGTGCCTTGCTCAGCCCTCCTTCAGGAAATTCATCCCATCTTTCTTCTAAAGCAGTTAGGAGCAAAAACGGAGATGTACAGTCAGGCAATATGCAGAGAACATGAGACCTTGAAACATTTGGAAATAAAGGGAATATCTCCATCAAATTCCTTCCTCAGAGCTCAGGGAACCCTGCAGAAGGGGAGGCAGAAAGGATGTAAAAGACAGACTGCAGAAAGGATACCAAGAAAACAAAGGCCCTAAATCAGCAGTTTTAATACACATATGAACTCAGAGACTGGAGCAGCACAATTGGAGATTGCTTCTGGGCTGGGGGTGGGAGCCTGAGTCCACAAGGCTTGAACAGGTCTGTACCAGATGGGGTCCTAGAGCTGAAAAAGGTGGACACATTCCTCTATCCCCAGCCCAGAAGCAATCTCCAATTGGTAATCACTTGTAAGTGTGAGTATAGTTGGCTCCAAGGAAGTGTCACTAGGGAAACAGATTACTCTAAAATGTGGGCTGCATGCCCAGCAGTAGATGGCCAATAGAAAGTGAACTCAACAGCTTTGTATATTTCTTGTCTCATACATCCTGTCAGGGTTTTTCCACTTTTCTTTCTTCTTTTTTTAATATTTCTTATTTTTCTATTTTCTTTTATTTATATAAATTTCTTCTCTTTTTTACTCTATAGGTTCTTTGTGTATATATTATGCTTTTTAATTCAATGTTTTCGTAGAATTCCTGAGTGTGGAAACGATTGGCCTGATTCTTGTGCCTTCTTCTGGACTCTTTCTGTTTGCTTTTCCCATTCTGATGTGTTTTTGTTTTATCTTATTATATAATATTATATTTCATTATTATCCCCTAGAAGCCTATTTATTTCCTAATGAGAGATAGGAAGTGAGTGGATTCAGATGGGAAGGGAGGTAGGAAGGAACTAGGAGGAGTAGAGGGAGGGGAAATTGTAACCTGGATATATTATGTGAGAAAATAAAATGTATTTTCAATGAATGGGGAACATACAGCCTCTAGGATCTGGTGTGGACATGAACTAGACGTCAGTTAGTATGGGACAGGGCCAAAGAGATGTCAAATCATAGTTAACTCTGATGGGATTTACCCAACTTTAACTCTGTGCTTTACTCTAGGAGTGCACTTCACACATAATTTTCTAGGCCCTAACAAGTTTTCAGTGACCACTTTAGTTCTGTCCCTGGGACCTGCGCCCTCTACAAAGATGCCTTCTTCATAACAGTAAAGCTGGTCTCTGTTTA